GCTCAGCCCACCAGGGGGCGGGGCTGGCTGGCATGTGGTGCTGGGGGATTGAACTGCGGTCCCTCTGCTTTGCTAAGCTTGTTTTAAGTAGGTGCCCTAGACCACTGAGCCATCTCACCAGCCCCTTAAAATTTTATTTAAATCCAGGCACGAGGGGCTGGGGAGATGGCTCAGTGGAATAAGCGCTTCCCTGGCAAGCACAAGGGCCTGAGTTCAATCCCTGGTTCTGCAAAATAAATAAATAAATAAATCCAGGCATAATAGCACATACCCTCAATCCCAGATACTCAAGAGACTGAGGCAGGAGGAGCACAAGTTCAAGGACAGCCTGGATAACTTAGCAAGATCCTACCTTTTTTTTTTTTTTTTTGTGGAACCAAGGATTGAACTCAGGCCTTTGAGCTTGCCAGGGAAGCTCTTATTCCACTGAGCCATCTCCCTGACCCCTAAACAAATTTTTTGAAAATGCAAAATGCTGAGGGTTGTAGCTTAGTGATACAGCACCTGTGAGTTCAGCCCTTGGTGTCCCTGAACAAGTATTTTGTCATGTCTGTGTTTGGAAAATTTTTAGTGGTATTCAGTTCTCTCTTTTTTTTTTTAATTTATGTGTGTGTGTGTGTGTGTGTGTGTGTGTGTGTGGCCAGCTCAGCCCACCAGGGGGCGGGGCTGGCTGGCATGTGGTGCTGGGGGATTGAACCAAGGTCCCTGTGCTTTGCTAAGCTTATTCTAAGTCAGTGCTTTAGACCACTGAGCCATCTCACCAGCCCCGGTATTCAGTTCTTAGTTGAGCACACGCTGCTCTCTTTTCTGTGGTGCTGCTTCTGTAAGATACAACTTTCCAAGGTGAAACTACTAGGTCACAGGGTGGCACAGTGTGATGGCTTTTGCTTTGAGTTGCCGCATTCCCTGCCAGCCTGGAGCTGATCCACAAGTAGGTCTTGTCAGCTTTGGGCACCACTGATTTTCCTTGCTGATCTCCCCCCATTTCAGGGCTCAGGATCAGGTGAGGTTAGGGTAAGATGCTGTCAAAGCCTTCTGTCTTATATACTGCTATGTGAGTAGGAGTCCAGTGCATCTTGGGGGATCATGATTTATCCTTTCCGATTAGTGTGGACACACTAATCGCTTAGCAGTTATTATACGTGTGCAGATGCTTTTATTGCTTAGCATTTATACAGATGTTAGCCTTCTTACAAGCACTAATTTGTGAACTCGTATTGGTTCCCTATACACTTTGGGCAGCGTAAATAGATGTCATCATCTTATATGTTCTCTATTCTGTTCCATTTAATTCATTTCAGGGCTGGGGAGATAGCTCAGTAGAATAAACACCTGCCTGGTAAGCACAAAGTCCTGAGTGCAATCCCTGGTACAGCAAAAAAAAAGAATTCCCTGATTAATTTCATTTGCATTTTATTCCATGTCTCCCTGTGTAGATAGTTCAACCTGTATAGTCTGCTTCACTTGTTATGATTTCATCATGGAGGGTCGGCCAGATAGCTCAGTGGACTAAAGTGCCTGCTTAGGCAGATGCAGGGACTGGGGATCCCCCAGCTTGCTGTGCCATCCCCACCCCTGGGGTTGGGGTGTGCTGAGAAGGTGACAGACTGGGCGTGGTGGTGCACACCTGTAATCCCAGCATTGGGAGGCTGAAAACAAGAGGATCACTACAAGTCCAATCTGTGTAGACCCTGTACTAAATACAATAAATAAATAAATAAATAAATAAATAAATAAATATAAAGATAAAGAATTCATCATGGAGGCCAGGTGTGGTGGTGCACACCTGTAATCCCAGCACTCGGGAGGCTGAGGCAGAAAGATTGTTACAGGTTTGAAGTCAGCCTGGGCTACAGAGTGAGTTCAAGGCCAGCTTGAACTACACAGCAAACCTGATCTAAAAGAAAAATATCATCATGGGGCCAGACATGGTAGCACATACATGCTTGTAATCCCTGCTACTCAGGAGGCTGAGGCAGGAGGATCACAAGCCTGAGGCCAGACTGGGCAACTTAGCAAGACCCTACCTCAAAAGGGCTAGGTAGGTAGTTCAGTGGGAAAGTGCTCAGCCAGTATACTTAATGCCTCTGGATTACATCCTGATTCTTGGAATAAAAGAAAAAGATGGGGCTGGAGAGATGGCTCAGTGGTCTAAAGCACCTACTTGGAACAAGCTTGGCAAAGCACAGGGACCGCGGTTCGATCCCCCAGCACCACATGCCAGCCAGCCGCGCCCCCTGGTGGGCTGAGCTGGCCACACACACACACACACACACACACACACACACACACACACACACACACACACACACACACACACACACACACACACACACAAATAAATAAATGTTTAAAAAAATAAAGAAAGAAAGAAAAATAAAAGAAAAAGAATTCATAGAGGGGAGAAAGGCTGTTGCACGGTCTTCTGGCTGCCTAAAACAGTGCTTTTTTTGCCTTGTTTAGTTTTATTTATTTTTATTTTTATTTTTGCAGAACCAGGGATTGAACTCAGCCCCTCGCACTTGCCAGGGAAGCGTTTATTCCACTGAGCCATCTCCCCGGCCCCAGTTTTATTTAAAGTTTTTATTTTTTATTTTTAGCAGTACTGGGGATTGAACTCGGGACTTTGCGCTTGCCAGGCAGGAGCCTATGTTGCTGAGCTATCTCCCTGACTAGTTTTATTTTTTGAGACAGGCTCTCAGTATGTAGCTCAGGTGTCCTTGACCTCACAGAGATCCTCCTGCCTCAGCCTTCCCAGTACTTTGATCACAGGTGTGTGCCTCCAGGCCCAACTTGCAGTGCTTTTCTTGTGGGATCCCTGGCTCCTTTCTCACCTGTTCTGTTCTGTTGCAGGTCTGCCATGTGAATTTGGAGGGACAACCATTCTACTCCAAGAAGGACAAGCCCTTGTGCAAGAAGCACGCACACGCCATCAACGTGTAGGCCCAGGCGTAGGCGCAGGCGAGGCCTGGCTGCTCTGCCACTGGCAACCCTGGGGTTGAGGATGCGATGTTTCTTTTGGGGGGCAGGAGGGTAGCAAGGGGCCCTGTTGAGTATCAATTTAACTTCTCCTCTGTCCAAAGGCCATATATTTGTCTAGTTCAGAGTAGAAGCCAAGTGCAGCTTCTAAATCCTGCTCGCTATTCACCCAGGCCTGGACCTGCACTTCCGTCACTTAAGGCAGGACTGCAGGAAGTCCCGAGCCAAAGCAGCTTTCCCAGGGCTGTGCTGCCCATGTCCCCAGTGTAGGGACAGAGCCCAGAGGGCACAGTGCCCGGCCTTGTGCAGAGCTCTTCGAGCTGCTCCTACAAACAAAACACGGTGCCAAACAGTGCTCGCTTCCGGGTATTTTTAGAGCCACAGCTGAGAGCTGGCTAGCTGAGACCCAGCAAGCTTTCCTCACCAAAAAAGGAAGTGGTATTCCTCTTGGAGTATCCTGTGGCCACCTCAGCTCCAAGACTGCGGGAACAACTTCAGCTGTCCCCAGGGCCAGGCATCTGCGGCGATGGCTCTGGGAGCTCCAGGCTGCTCCCTGCCAAGGCTCCACTGTGCCCCTCTTTCATTTTGAATCATCTGGGGTCCCCAGAAGGCTGCTTGGCCCCTCTGTGGCTCTGGTGATATCTAGCCTTTGTTTTGCTTTAAGGGCATGAGTGTCTTCGTGTGTGTCACCCCCACCCTCACTGATCACTTTTGCTGTCTTCCCCCTCCCCTCTTCCAAATGGACTTGAGAGCCTGCAGAAAGAAGCGGGACAGAGTGAGACCCAGGAAGGCAGAGCAGGCCAACACTCCCAAGCCTCTCTGTCTGCCAGCCTTGCAAGGAGGTGGTGGGACCTCTCATGCATGCTTGCCCATCCCTTCCGAGAGCCCTTCCAGGGCCACACACTTGCTGTGTGTGCTCGTGTTCCCTGCTGGAGGAAGAGGGGGCTGTGTTGGCCATTTGGGCCAAGATTTTGGAAAATGTACAAGCTGACTCAACATAGCAGCTACTTCCATAGGTACTGAAATAGACCTAGGCCTTCAGCCTTCTCTACCATATAGATGATAGTTAGGTTAGGTAAGCAAGGTAGGGCTGTCTGATAAAAAGTGAGAAGTCTTGTTTCCAAAGTTGGGGACAATACGGTCACTTTTTAAGAAGCACCGTTACAAAAATGCCATTGGGAGCCAGGTGTGGGGACACACATCTGTAATCCCAGCACTTAGGAGGCTGAGGCAGGAAGATTGCCATGAGTTTGAGGCCAGCCTGGGCTAGGTAGTGAGTTCAAGGCCAGGTTGAACTACATAGTGAGACCCTGTCTCAAAAAACAAAAAAAGGGAATGAAATTAGGGCTGGGGCTGTGACTATACTATAGCACTTGCTTAGCATGCATGAGGCTCTGGGGCTGCAAAAGAAAAAGGAAAGAAAGGAAGGAAAAGAGGAGCCAAATGGCTCCACAGCAGGAAGCCCATAGAAAAGCTGCTCCCAGGGCCCCGGGCTGGGGAGATGGCTCAGGAGAATAAGCACTTGTCTGGCAAGTGCAAGGGCCTGAGTTCAATCCCTGGTCCCGCAAAAAAAGAAAAGAAAGAGAAAAGCTGTTCCCCAACACAGTGTTCAGGCGCCCTTCCAGCTCTCCATTCCTGCTTTGGGTTTCCTCTCTGCACCCTGGAAATGATGTCTAGGAAAGCCTTCAAATGCTTCCTGCTGAGGACTGCCAGGGCACTGCACTCAACGTGAGTGTGTGTCCCTTCTCCCTGAGGGACAAGGACGCAGCTAGCCACGGTCTCAAGCCAGGAGAAGCCCATGTTTCTGGGGGTTTTTTTATGGAAAGTTCAAATACACAGGAATAAGGAGCCTGCTGAGATAAGAAAGGCTCTGCACAGGGTTTTTTGTTTTTGTTTTTGTTTTTGTTTTTCCAAAACAACAATCTATTAAGTGATCAGGGAGTGGTCTCGAGGGAAGCAAGAAAGTTCCCTCCGGTTAAGTTTCCAAAATCTCCTTTTGAAGGTTTGATGTGCTTGCACACATGTGTGATTCTTAAATGGTGTATTTATGACCTTAAGAAGAAAAAGGAAGTATCTTCAAGGAAAGCTCCCCTAAGCCAGGCAGGGTGCCCAGGCTGGAACCCAGCTCGAGGGGCAGGGGTGGGGGGGTAGGTGTCGTTGTGAGTCTGAGCCTAGCCTGGAAAGCAGAAGAAGACCTTTGGTTCAAGAAAAAGAAAGCTTCACCATAGTGCTCTGTTGAACGGGGTTTTTGCCTCTCAGAGCCTGGGGAGATGCAGAGGGACTCTTACTTACTAAGAAACATTTTAGGGGCTTAGGGTTCAGCCCACTGGGAGAGTGCTTTCCTAGCATATGCAAGGCCCTGGGTTTGCACCTCAGCCCTGCAAAAGAAAGACAAAAACTAAAAAAGCAGTTTTAAAGTAGCAGAAAAAGGAAGAAGATTCAAGTGTGGCTCCCAGGATTCCTGTGTGTCTGGCATACTATGGGGTTCCAGTTATGTCACAGGATCCTGCCAACCCCAGGCTTTAGTGGTTCATGGTGAGGGGCTCACTTTAGGTCAGCAGCTCTGTGACTCCTTGCAGGCAGAAAAGCAGATAAACAGGACTTGTTGCCGCCGCCGAGTGACTTGTATCTGCAGTGTTTGTGTTAGGGATCTAGCTCTTAGGATGTTCACTTTCCAACCCGTGTATTCTTGCCTCTGCATTTTTGGGGGGCTGAGATTTCAGAATGGAATGTAGAGTGTTAGAGGCCTGCACAAAGCTACTTTGCATGTTTGTTCCCTTTTGCCCGTGTGAATTCTACTTTTTAGTAAAATAAAACTCAAAAAGGATGTGCAAATACACACTTTCTGTGTAGAGTGTTTTCATGTGGCAGCAGAGGCAGCTCACTTCTAGACAGCCACAAATAAAAGTTGGAGACAAAACTAAACGTCTTAGGGAGAACCGTGGCTCCCTTGCCATCGCTCAACAGCAGTGTTTAAACAAGGATGTGTGAGTAATACAAACATTTTGCACACAAAAGGAATTTCTAGGAATATAAGAAAGTGAAGACCAGGACTTTGCTTGTATTTTAGAAGTATTTATTTAGCTACTTGGTCGCCAAATAATTCAGATTCATTTGTTTTTGTTTTGCTCTAAATAGCTTCATGTCTAGAAAAGGTACTGTACCTCCTTTTCATTACATTTGTTTCCAAATAAACTCAGAGTAAATCCTGAGTTTAAGTACCTTTTCTTATATTTTTTTCTTTTTCTTTTTTTTTTTGTGGTACCAGGGATTGATCTCAGGACCCTGTACTTGCCAGGTAAGCACTTATTCTACTGAGCTATCTTCCCAGCCCCTCTTTCATTTTTTT